TCCACTGGGTGCCCCTGCAATCTGGTGGATCCCATCCAAGCCTCAGCGAATGAGTGCAGGCTTGCCTGGTGATTCCTGAGAGCAGGCGGGAGGGAGGCAGGACTGACTGTACGGGAGAAATGCCTGGGTGGGTAGAAAGCCAGTTGTTTAAGGTGAGCTCGTAGAGAGGAAGGTGTTGGTAACTCCATGCAGCCCCAGCCTACGGCACTATTTCACCTGACTTCTTACACAGAATTGAGCTTTTATTTGCAGCCTAAGTGAGGGCCCAGGGAAAAGAAGTGGCGTGAGGAAACTTCTTGACTGTGATCCTTAAGCTTAAGGATTACACGAGGGCACACTGCTGAGGCGCACAGCACCTGTCAGTGGGTGTGTGAATTCCATAGAAGTCAGGGAGCTGGGCCTATGATTAAGATTGGACACTTCTGCACTATGAGAAGGCATGAACATGCACCAAATATTGTAGTTTCATTCATGGCTCTACTGAGCCTCTCACTAAATAAAGGAAAGACTGAATCCAGAATGTGGTGAGAAAGGAATTGCAAAGGGGCTCAAGATAAAACTTACCAATCGTGTTTTCTCCTGTGACCTTGGTGGTGGCAGCCATGCCCACGTGCCTCTCAATGTCTTTTATTTGCCTTTTCTAACCCTGGCTGGCTTGTCTGATGCACCCTGTAAATGTGAAGAGGAAACATGGGGCACATCACATGATCTGTTTGAACAAATCCCTGCAGTCTGTGCATCTAAGGTCCCAGGGAAGAGACAGAGCAGAAGATACATGTTCCCTGAAGAAATTGAACACATAGAAGGCAGGGAAGTGAGCAAAGTTCTGTTTGGAACCTACATGAATATGGGCTTTCTCTGAAAGCACAGCATTTTGTGGAATGTAAGGAAGGTCAGGAATCTCTAAGGTGGCCCCAGTGACTAGGGCTTCTGACCTGCTGAGAGCCAAGAAACAAGAGCGAGCCTATGGGCGTCTGATTAGTGCAGACAAGTTAATAAAATAGCTGGAATACACAAAGAGAGGATGCAAAAGCAGGTCTGAGAGAAGGCATAAGAGGATTAAAGCTGCAAAAACAATCCAGTAATGGATTTCTCAAACACACCATCGAACAGGCAAGGACAGGTGTCCTGTCAAACCATTTCCTGGTGAAACCTGATCCATCCTTCTGACTCAGGGCCTGCTCACCTCATTTGTAACTGAAGGGCCTGCCCCTGACTCCCAGTGGGGCTCTCTGAGCAGCCCGGAGACTGGCCAGGAAGCCAGCTTTGCAGACAAAAGGGGCCAGGGACAGGCTGCTTTCCTTCACATGCAGGCAACTGCATCTCTCTGCATCTGCCTCGCCTGGCGGCTGACGAGGCTGGCACTGCGCATGAAGCTTCACCCATCTCTGTCCTTCTCCCTACCCCAAAACACTAGAAAGGGTGCTCTGATTTTCAAGTCGGTCCTCACTTCATTACTCTGTCTTTGATCCCTTAGTGAAACTCAACTTTTGCTCCAGCAGCCAATTTGGGGGTTTGTCTAGTGAAGCAACAGCTAAGGCTTACGTTTAGGAGGCACAGGGACTAAACTTCTGCTTATTTGTTCTGACACCAGGAAGGTTTGCCTGCCAGTCGACCCCCGTGGGGAGCTGGGTGTCCAGCTGGGTGTCCTCGGTCCTGCCTGCATGGCTGTTGTGCACGTGTTGGCATCAGAACAGAGGGCTGTCAGGCCACATGGCTGACCGGTGCCCAGCTTTGTGCCTCCCCCACTGCACAGCCTCCTGTCTCCAGCCCAGCAGTTGTCAGAGGTGCAGAGGGTGCCAAGAGGGGCTTAAGGAGGGCCTGGTATTTCTGGGGCTGGGTGGGTGAGGGGGTTGCACGGAGGAGCGTGCTCTGCTCCTGCCTGGATAAGCCCGCAATTGCCATGGGGCAGGAGCCCAGGCCGTGAAGATGGTGATGGCATTCTGGTGCCAGACTCCTTTCAGTTGCTCACGCCTTTCTTGCAAAATGATCTGTTAGGTTTAAATATATTCTTGCTCAAGGCAAATTTCCTTGGAATGAGGTAAAGATAAGGGGGAGGGTAGGAAAAAACTCAAAAACTCTTGGTGGAGTATTTTTAGATGTATTAGACCATTGAAGGGAGTGCTTCTTAGTGATGGGGGAATTTTCCAGATGCCCTTGAGCTCACAGTACTCACAGCTCGCTCTGCGGGGCGCCTCCTGGCTTGGCAGGCGCACGTGCGCTGTGCGGAGAACCCCGAGGCCTCGGCAGCATTTAAGTGCCTGGCTTCGGAAAGCGGTGGCCATATTTAGCTAGAACACACTGAGCGCAGGCAATCCTCCCCTTCCCGCAGTCCATACCTCCCTTCTCTCTGAGAGAAAGTGCATCCTGTGTCTTGACGGAGAGGCTCACCCAAGACTGGGCTGTCATTTATGGGGCCCAGTGCAAAATGACAATGCAGGGTCCCTTGTTCAAACATGATGAAGAATTTCAAGATGGCGACAGCAGAACGTTAAACCTAGCATGGACCCCAAGCATGGGGCCCTGTGCAACTGGGCATATTGCACGCCCATGAAGCTGGCCTTGGGCTCAGCCTTCTTCCAGTGCAGCAGTTCTCAACCTGTGGGTCTCGACCCCTTTGGGGGTCGAACAACCCTTTCACAGGTGTCGCCTAAGACCATCGGAAAACACATATATAATTACATACTGTTTTGTGATTAATCACTATGCTTTAATTGTGTTCAATTTGTAACAATGAAATTGGGAGTCACCACAACATGAGGAACTGTATTAAAGGGTTGCGGCATTAGGAAGGTCGAGAACCACTGTTCCAATGTATTCAATGAGGATTAGCAAGCATTTGCTATATTCTGCATACTGGGCAGCAGGGCTTGGGGTTGGAGGCGTGGAGTGCAAAATAGACTGCTCCCTAGAAATTTACAATTTAGTTAGGGTCAGATATCATGCACACAAAATTAAATAATGATGAGACCATTCTTCTAAAGCCCAGAAGGCCTTGAACAAATAATGGGCTTTCTCAGAAAGCACTTCCAGTCACCTACCCAAAGGAAGGGGTCGTGAGGCTGGCCTTCCTCGATCCACAGGCATCACGTGGTGGGCCTGGAGAATGAAGTGGAGTAAGAGAAATGAATTGGGAGGCTGTCATTGGTTTTGCCACGCCACTCTGTGGACAGCAACACGCATGTCTTACTCCACGTTTATTGGACCTATTTTACCTCTTTCCTGTGACCCTGGAAGTAACCTCTCAAGGAACGTTCTATTTTCAAAATAGCCACACTTAGATAAACGGTTGGCTACACTTGGATAAAAGGTTCATAGGACATGGGCCGTGCTAGGCCCGTAGCCTTGAGCTCACAATGTAGGCCAACTCAACTAGCACATCTGAGTTCACAGGCAACAAACGGGCCCCTTGTACCTGATGGAGGGGCCAGCTCTGAGACGGTCATTTAATCAGTCATTCAACATCACTGGGCATCTACTCGGCCAGGCCTAGGCCAGGTTCAGAAAACATGTATGAAGACTTGGTCCTGCCCCTAAACGGCTCACAATCTGATATAGTGATCAAAGGGACAAGAGTCCTTTCATAGAAACAGAAGGGCCCTCCTGCCCTGGCTTGTCTTGGCTTGACTGAGAACTTCTGGAAAGTTCCATTGAGTGGGAACCTCCTGAGCCGGCTGAGTGCCTCAGTCACCAGGCTCTCCTTTGGCGACAGTAGTTTGTTTTTAGTAATTATCTCTCCTGTCAGACACCTGACTCCCCCTGCTCCGGAGGCCTTCTCCGGGTCTCCAGTGGAAACAACAGCAGCAGGTGGCATGTGGGCAGCTCCCACGGTAGTATTGTTCTCAGGAGCTGAACAGAGGTGGTGTGGTCAGCAGTCAGTGAGGGTACCTCGAGGATGTTTTCTAAGTCCCATTATGAAGAGTGGGTAAACACTAGTATTCTCATCTCTCTTATCTTCCCCTCCATCCGTCTTATTTCCTCTCTCAAGTTAAATTCAGCGACAGTTCTGAAAACCGAATTTGAAATGTGGTTTTGTTGCACAAATGGCCCATTCTGTTCAGCAGCATCAGTGATTCGGCTCCTACAGACAGTTTTGTGGTTTGGACTCTTGGATTGATTGGGAAGCATCCGGCTCTTATTCCAGATGGACCTCCATCCTCTCTCAGCTTAGATCCCAGTCTTCCTGCCAGTGTGCCAAGCCAGGAGAGAGCCACTGTGCTGCCAGGGGCTGCAGCCCAGGGTCAGGGCCCTCAGCTCCCCCGTATTCCCCTGCCATTAAGCCACACCAGGGAGACCCCTCTTTGCCTTAGAAACCCTGGGGGCATCCACAGCTCCCCACCCCAGCCCTGAGAAGGTATTAGCCATGATGTAGAGCAAGCATGTCAAACTCAGAGGCTAACACGGGCCAAATGAACGAAGCATGCGGCCCACGGGCCATGAGTTTGACATGCTTGATGTAGAGTATAGCTCCTGGGTAGCAGGAACAACCCCCGTTAGAACCATGCTTGGTAACCAAGCAAAATCCTGGGCCTCTCAATTTTCACTATGGATGTCTGAGAAGAACCAGGGAAGGCCATTCTTGGAATGAAGGAGACATCAGCATTCTCTTTTGTTGTTCCCTCTGAGCTCTGCCAGGACATTTGTGCCTTGACCCTGACCAGGTTTAGTAGGGCCGGTGGGCCTGGTCAGCTTGCTCCCATGTCTCAGTGTAACAGAGAGTCTGGTCCGCATCACAGGCTCCACCTGAAGGAATCTCCATGTCCACCCCACCCTGCAGCTCATATGTACCAAGTTGAACTCCAATGCAGTGATGAAGGCCACACAATCCATCCTTTAAACTCCCCTAGACAACAAAAGGTGAGGAAAGACTCACAGAGAGCCCCCACTGTGAGGTTTTGCAGCTGTTTATTGAGACTAAAGACACCGAGACATAAGCCACCCTGGAACATTTCATGTCTCCTCTATCAAAGCCCAACCGGCACCCCCCCTTCTCTCCACAGATCTCCAGGACTTCAAGTTAGACGTGCAGCATGTGATTGAAGTAGATGAGGGGAACACGGCGGTCATTGCCTGCCACCTTCCTGAGAGCCACCCAAAAGCCCAGGTCCGATACAGTGTCAAACAAGAGTGGCTGGAGGCATCCAGAGGTGAGCAAGCAGGACCCCAGAGGCCAAGGCCGGGGGGAAGCTGGCCACTCCTGTCTTGGGCCTTGATATTTAGTCCTGTGGGATCCTGAAGGGACTGGCTCCTGTTACGAGGTCTTCCGCCCTGCCTGAGGAATGTCTTTGCTCTTTGAGGCCCTGGATGATGTTGCTAAGCTGCACCATTTGGTCAGGGCTGTCAGCATAGGTTCCAGATTTCCCCCATGTGAGCTCCCGGCCACCAGGCAGACACAGAAAGGCTGCCGACAATCCCAGCCATCCCTGCAGCTGCAGCGTGGGAGGTGGAGCTCGTCCCCACACAGCAGAGCAGTCTTCTTATGGAACTTGAGTTTCTCCCTGTCCCCATTTTCCTGGTAATGCAGCCATCTCAGGGCGGGGAGGGGTGGGGAGGGGGGGGTGGTGAGCTGTGGTCTCCCGAGTACCAGTTGGGGGAACAGGAAGCTTCATCCACAACTGAACCTGTACACTAGGCCAAGTAGACCCTACTGACTGGACCCCACAGCTCAAAATGTGTAACTTTAAAAACATGTACATTTTAAAATATTTTATTAACTTTTTCTGGTTATGAAAGGAATGTATGTTCACTATAGAAAATACAGAAAACTGTTTTCTGGAAGGGTAAAGACCCGAGTCCTGCCCCTCGAAATACGTGGAGACTGCGGGAAGAACATCCATCTGCACGGTCCCCAGCGGGAGCCTGGAATGGCCCCTAGAGGAAGCCTGCCCAGCCCACAGGGGCAGAGCTTCTCCCTATTCTGTCTGATATTTGCCTAAGTAGCTCATCCCCAGGGGCAGGCCGGCGCCAGGCTTAGTGAGCCTAGGTATAGGGACACCCCGACTCCCAAGGCAGGCCCCCAGGAGCTTGGAGTGGAGGGCCGGTGGTCCGCCTGCCAGGAAGCTGGACACCACTGGTGTGTCCAGCAGCGTGAGACGATCTCCTGCTGAGAGAAGCTGAACCCAGCCCTGCCCTCCCCCTCAGCCCCCCTGACACCCCTGGCCCAGAGCACACAGCCCAGCAGGCCAGTGATGCAGAGGGGAGAGCTTCTGCGGCGTTCACAGAGAGCGTGGGGTTGGGGCCAGAATGTTCTCCCCGTTGCAGAAATTCAGTAGTGAGGTGGCTCAGAGCTGCGACTGACAGACGATGGCAGGTTCTGAAGTGAAAGCCCGCCCTCCTGTGGGAATGACCTCTTAGCTCCCAGGGGTGCATCAGGGCCCCTTGAGCCAGACAGCGGCCGAGGCAGCACCCATTGGGCCACTTTACAAATAAGGGAACCCAATCTGTGAGGTTATGACCTTGCCCGAGATCACACCGTCAGTACAGGCAGGTCCAATGCCTTGAGTCCAGGTCTGGCTGACCCCATGTCCTGCTGCCTCTCGCCAGCTTCCTGACATGTAAAATGCTCTTCCACAAGTCTGTGGACTGACCTGGGGGGAGTTACCAGCCGGTTAGCTGGTTCCTTAGTTGTTTCGTTCCCTGGCATTCTGTCCCCCTGGCTTCCAGGTTTTATGGGAGAAGAGCACTTGGGGGGTGGGCTTACTGGAACTCAAGTGCACATCTCGGGTCCTGCCCCGCCCATTTGTGGGAGCTATTGGGTGTAGTGTTTTAGGCCCAAACTCACCCATGTTCCCTTCCTGTTCTTTCTTCAGGTAACTACCTGATCATGCCGTCAGGGAACCTCCAGATCGTGAACGCCAGCCAGGAGGACGAGGGGATGTACAAGTGCGCTGCCTACAACCCGGTCACCCAAGAAGTGAAGACCTCGGGCTCCAGTGACCGGCTGCGCGTGCGCCGTAAGGGGCGGGGCCTCCCTGGTGGAGGGAAGGGCCTGGGCTCCAGCTTTGTGTTCCCCGAGGTGGGGGTGAGGGTTGTGGGGCTCCAGCTAGTGCAGTGGTTCTCAACCTTCCTAATGCCGCGACACTTTAATACAGTTCCTCATGTTGTGGTGACCCCCAATTTCATTGTTACAAATTGAACATAATTAAAGCATAGTGATTAATCACAAAAACAATATGTAATTATATATGTGTTTTCCAATGGTCTTAGGCGATCCCTGTGAAAGGGTCGTTCGACCCACAGGTTGAGAACCGCTGAGCTAGTGGGACATCCAGGACTCAGCCAGGATGGGGGCACCTCCCGAAATACCCACCTCTCACAGCCCAGCCCTCGGGTTTGGCTCAAGGGGCTGTGCCTCCTGCTCACTCACCTCAGAGCACTGTGGGGACCACCCCCCCTCACTGTGCCTGTGGAGGGCTTTCGTGCATGTGTAACTTTCAGAGGAGGGGGTGGCGGGATGTGGGCTGGGCAGGACAGTCGCGCTCAGCAGCGGGCAGCGTCTGTGTGAGAAAGACATGCTGCCTTGTGCCCATGTCAAAGCCACCAGTCTGCACTGTGGACGTTTGCCCAACACCTCCCCCTGGTAAAGACCGTGGAGACCCACACAGCCCCTCATTTATGTGAAAACAGCTGCGTTTGCTGAGCGCGTTCTGTGCGCCAGGCTCTTTCCTGAATCCCCGTGGATTCCGTGGAGTCACATCTTAAGGTGGAGTTAGGTTTTAGAGTCGGCACCAAAGGCAGATTTACTGTGAAGTTCATGAAGCAACATTTCAGTGGTTCCTCACCCGCCTAATTGAGTATCTGTAATTTTGTATTCTTTTCCTAAAGAGGGCTTCCCAAGCTATATGAGTTCCAGGTCGTACAGAACCTGGTCTGTCCCTGGTTGGCACAGAAAGCAAAATCACACATGGCAGCAGGCCACCTGAAGGTCCCGAGGAAGACGGCACGTGGGGGAGCAGCATGCCTTTCAATAAGTTCAACCGTGTCTCTCCCCCAGCCTTGAAAAAGGGTGGCTGGCTGCTTCCTCAGCTGGGAACCTAATGAAGTAGTTGATTGGGAGACCTCACAATAGGAGAAATGCTCATCTTTAAACCATAGGTCCTGCTCATCTCAGCAAGATGCTCACGGGAGATGCTGCTCACGCTGTGGGAGACACTTGGGTTCTGAGACCTGTGTGTGGGATCCGTGGATCCATCTCTTCCTGTCTTAGAGTCCCTTCCTGGGTGCAAGCAGGGAAAAACCTGCACCATTTAAGTGTTCCTCTGGCCACCCCTCATCCTTCTCTCCTCCGACACACAGCTGCCCCCACACACGCTTGGCCGTGATGCTACGCCACTGCAGTCTCATTTCTTATTGTAACAACTCCTACAGGAAGTCCTTGTCTCGCGTAAGAAAACCAAGGCCGAAGGGAATTAAGTGACTGGCCCCACTTTACGTAGGTCATAAGCTCCTGAAGGCTATTTGATTCCAAATCCGCGGACTCTGGGACTGCCTCCTGGGTCAGGGCCACCCAAGGTCGCACAGAAGGGGCCCTCCACACCAAGTCCTGGTCCCACACGCTGTCCTTCCCCCCGCCCCCTCCAGGCTCCACAGCCGAGGCCGCCCGCATCATCTATCCGCCAGAGGCCCAGACCATCATCGTCACGAAAGGCCACAGTCTCATCCTGGAGTGTGTGGCCAGTGGGATCCCGCCTCCGCGGGTCACCTGGGCCAAGGACGGGTCCAGTGTCTCCGGTTATAACAAGACGCGCTTCCTGCTGAGCAACCTCCTCATCGACACCACCAGCGAGGAGGACTCGGGGACCTACCGCTGCATGGCCGACAACGGGGTCGGGGAGCCCGGGGCGGCGGCCATTCTCTACAACGTCCAGGTGTTTGGTGAGTGTCTCCTGCAGACCTTCTTCTCCTTGACCTTCCCTTTGGTCTGCTTGGCCTGTCTAGAAGCTCCTAACCCCAGCTCAGGGTCACGTCCCTTCTGAGAGGCCGCGTGCCGAGTGAGTGACAGGAGCACTGAGAGGCGGAGGCTCTGGATCCCAGGGACGAGGCTGCCCCTCGGTGCCCTTTCCTGATGTGGCTCTGGTGGCGGAGACGGAGGCCTTCCCTTTCCTCTGTCAACAGCCAGGGGAAAGGGGGAGCCTTCCTGCCTGGCGTGGACAGGGAGACTCCCCCTCTCTCACCCCTGCTCTGGTTTCCCGGCAGAACCCCCCGAGGTCACTGTGGAGCTGTCCCAGCTGGTCATCCCGTGGGGCCAGAGTGCCAAGCTCACCTGTGAGGTGCGCGGGAACCCCCCGCCCTCAGTGCTGTGGCTGAGGAACGCCGTGCCCCTCACCCCCAGCCAGCGCCTCCGACTGTCGCGTAGGGCCCTGCGCGTGGTCAGCGTGGGGCCTGAGGACGAGGGCGTCTACCAGTGCATGGCCGAGAACGAAGTTGGCAGTGCCCACGCCGTGGTCCAGCTGAGGACCGCCAGGCCAGGTGAGTGCAGCACGAGGGCCGAGAGTGGAGTGAATACTCACAGAACCCTTCTCTCCAAGGGAATCTAAAATAGAGCCCCGATGTGTAAAACCAGTAAAAGTGGCTTTCAGTTGTAAGTTCAAATTTATATTAACTTATTAAAAAGTCAGAAGTGAAGGTTTTCACTAGTGAAAATGATCCATTTAGCTGTTGTATTATAATTTAAAAATATAATTTAATCGTTTTGTAGAATCTGTGGGTTCATAGGGTTCTATGGAACCCAGTCTGACAACCCCTGCTCTGGAGCAAAGGAAAGCAATTGGATTGTTAGCTTGATTCATTTCCATTGACACCTATAGTGACTGAGCAGTAACTGTGCTCAGCACTGGACTGGGTAGCCTAGAGAATACAGAGAAACATAACACAGAATTAGCCTCAAGAATTTTTTCATGGAGGAAATAAAATATGCAGAGGAAATAATTGGAGAAAAATACAATGACAGAGAATGAAATGCTAAATCGTCATTGTCAGATGCCAGCCTCCCGTGGGGCAGGCAGAGTCCGTGGACGCTCCATGAAGGAAGTGTTGCCCTGGCTCCTCAGATTCCCAGGGGCATTTACAGTTGGCTTTCCGTCTCCCGTTTCCAGGTCAGTGCAGTGGAGAAGGAGAAGGCCCGTGTGTGCCGTGTGCTAAGACTCCCCAGTGTGGGGCATGCCCCCAGCCCAAGTGTTAGGCATGAGAAAGAGGGCACGGGGTTCCTGCACCCCAGGAGCAAATAGATAGTTCACTTCAGATGTGGAGTCAGGAACACAAACAGGTTGCAGACACGCTTGCCTACCATGCCTGGGCCATGGCAAGAAGCATGGACGTGGGGCACCAGACTGCCTTTCCCTACTGGAGGGCAGGGGCATGACCCTCTCTCCCACGGAGCCTGTTGAGTGGGCCAATGGCCATGTCAGTCCTGCCCTGAGGGCTCTTCCTGCCCAGCAGGTCTTCTCTCAGCTCAGCAGGTGACCAGGGGACTACCACCCTCTTCCTTCCCTGTCTTTCCTGCTCCAGGCACAACCCTGAGGCCATGGCCCGATGCTAGGCTGGACACTGCCACACCTCCCGTGCCACCCTCCAGACCAAGAAGCCCCGACCAGATACTGAGGGGGCACCCAGGGCTCCCAAGGCCTCCAACGTCGGTGCAGCCGGCTTCCCCGCAGTGCCCTGGAGAGAAAGGGCCGGTGGCGCCCGCCGAGGCACCCGTCATCCTCAGCTCACCCAGGACCTCCAAGACTGACTCTTACGAGCTCGTGTGGCGGCCTCGGCATGAGGGTGGCAGCCGGGCACCGATCCTCTACTATGAGGTGAAACACCGTAAGGTATGGTGCCTGGCATTGTGCCCACCTCCTCTCAGGCTGGGCGGGGGTCTCTGTTATCTCCCTTCCCCTGAGCTCCCGCTGCAACCTGGACGACCAACCCCACTACTGGGCACGACCTCCCGTCTCCTCCAGGGGACTTTCCTACCACCTCCAGGAAGAGGGTGGTGCTGGGCATTTGGGACCCTACGAGGCCCAGGAAAAAGCCATGCCTTTGCCTCCGGGTCTGGGCTTCCCGGAAGCTACCACCACCAGCTTCTGGTCCCTGAGGGAGCGAACAGTCTCCCTGTTAACCATCCCCAGCCCTCCCCTCCTCGCTCTGCCATTTGTTGTTGATGTTGTTCTGTTTCTGAACCAAGCTAAGCTCCGCTGGGTGCATACCTGCAGGAACCCGGGCCTGGTGAGTGAGCTCTAAGCCAGGAAAACAAACATTTGTGAACAGTATTTCTCTGAGGCCTGTAAAGCGCCCTCAGTTCTCAGGCTCGTGGCTCGGGTTTGACAGGCAGGCGTTTGAGCTGGAAGCACATCGAGTTGCTCAGACCTTGACAGAGGGGAGTCTGTCCCATGGTGTTTGGGGAGCTGTCGGGAAGGACTCCGGCGCTGACGGGGTACGGGACGGAGCTTCCAGCCTGCCGTCCTGCACACTGTGTCCTGGGAAGCAGAAAGGGTCCCTGAGCTGTTATCCTCACTCAGGGCTGCACTCTCACTTGCTCCCACCCTTCCGTTCCCTGCAGGAGGAGGTCCTTGCAGTCCGTTTCCGATCGCCCCCTGTGCATGCTACCTTCTCTCTAAGGTCATTAGACAGTAGGCAGTTATTGTTTTCAAATGGATTTTAAAAAATCTTATGCGTTCTAATTCTAGACTTTCTTATGCATTCATATTTTTTTTGCTCGTGAAAGTGCTGTGTGCACTTGGAAGAAGAATTTGGATAATATATGAACGTGGAACTAAAAGAGTTTATCAACTCTTCTTCCCCCTCTAAAAACGAAAGCCAGCCCTGCGGGGAGGAAGGTCTGGCTGTGCAGGAGCCGTCTCCCCCACTGGACACGTGGCCCCTCTGTGCCTGTCCCCCGAATGTGCTCAGGACAAGTCCACAGAGCCTCTGAGGGGGTCAGAAAGACACCTCGGGCAAAGCTGCCTCCCAGCTGGGGGCCAAGGCCGGCAGTTCCTTATTGGTGCTTGGCCTGCTGGCCGCCTTATTGCCAGCCAGCAAAGGGGCGAATACATTTGTAACAAACAGCAGCATTGTTCAGCCCAGGTTATGGGGCAGGGCTGGTCCTAATCCTTGTTTCTCTGTGTAACTGGACACCTCCACCTCGGAGCTATAGACAAAGATCAGGGCAGGCCAAACGCTCATGGTCCCCAGGAGATGGCAACCAGCATGAGAGCAAAAATAATATTTTTCAGGCCAAGAGGTGGCCACCAAATTGCCTCGCCAGAGGGCTGGCTGGCAAAAGCCAGGCATGGCGATCCGGAAATGCCAGGCTGGGGTGGCACCCAGCCTCTCGGTGTGTGTGACAGTGACTAATTACCGTTCCATTTCTTATTTTCATTTCTGGTCCCAGTGGCATTGTGAGGCCAGGCCTGGGAAGTAAGCAGACACTGCCCACTGGGCCTTGCTTCTATAGAGCCAGCCTGTGGGGCACTTGGAGCTGTTAGGTGGGCACAGCCGCGGCAGAAATGATGTCCCACAAGCAGTTCCTTTCTTCTGGGACTAACGTCTTCAAGATCCTCACATCAGAAAGAATTTGGACATAAAAATATATCAGCATTTGGGTTGTTTCTTCAGCCCCCTTCTCTTGCTGGAGCCTGCGAGCCATTCAGTGCTTTTTCCCCTTTTCGCACGGTGGAGTGGCTTCATTTCCTGGTGCATCTGCAGATCCTGGCTACTGTGTTTGGGTTTCCAGCACCTCCGGGGATTCTCAGTTTGTAAAATCTTCTCCCCCTGGAACAAATCCTGGAAGCCTGACATTAACGAGCCCGGGCCCTGCCTGGCCCGTGAATAGCAGGGCTTGTTCTACTTCGGAATATTCTTCTTGGGACTCAGAGCTTTCCTGGCAGCTGTTTAGTTCCTTCAGCAAACCACACCTCAGGCTCCAGCAGGCTCCCTGAGACGTGCACGCCCGCAGTTAGGTCTGTCCAGGAAGGTAGGGTGGCTGAGAGCAAGCAGCCTGGCCTCTGAGCATCGCCCTGAGCCTGAAGCGCCTGTGTCGTTGTTTTTTCTTTAAAGAGCTGGGAATGTGACGCCATTACTATTCATCCATAATCCTGACAACTCAGCCACACTTTTTAAGTTCTAAGCAAGGACTGAGGGCAGGAGCAGAAAAAGGAGGTTTGAGATGGCAGAAACCTCACAGAGCGGAGGGTGTGGGGCCGTAGGGAGAAGGGCCAGGCATTTGTTGGGAACCTGCTGTCCACCCAGTTCAAAGCTCGACACTTTACACAAATCACCAAATTTAATCTTCAGAATCACCTGAAGACCTGAGAGGCCTTATTTGCTTCATTTTACAAATGAAAAGGCTTGGGATCAGAGAGGTTAGAGAACTTGCTTATGTTACACAGATAGTAAGAGAGACAACCAGGATAGAACCCAAGATTTTCTGACTCCCAGATTGTTTTCCTTTCTAAAGAGGTTAAGATTGTGAGCATGCACTCACTGGGGCTGTGGCCTTTGGCAAATTACTCATCTCTCTCAGGCTGTTGTCATGAAAGCACTGTATAGCATATATAAAGTGCTCCATGCCTAGCACTTGGTAAATGCTCAGCAAATGCAGCCATTCTACTGGTACTGCTACTTTTACCATCATCCTCATCTTATCTATTCTAATAATATAGGAATGTGCAAATTGGCTGGGACACCACCACGTAACAACCAATCAGGACAGGGGCGGGGCCGCAGCAGAGAGCTCTCAGCACACCTGCACCAGGGGTCCGAAGGGCATGGAGAGGGAGAGCAGATAGGCAGTTAGGGGGATCAGGCCAGGAGGGGGGAGCAGATAGGCAGTTAGGGTGATCAGGCCAGGAGGGGAGCGCAGATAGGCAGTTAGGGGGATCAGGCCAGGAGGGGAGAGCAGATAGGCAGTTAGGGGGATCAGGCCAGGAGGGGGGAGCAGATAGGCAGTTAGGGTGATCAGGTCAGGAGGGGGGAGCAGATAGGGGGATCAGGCCAGCAGGGGAGCAGTTAATGGCATCAGGCAGGCAGGCAGGTGAGTGGATAGGAGCCAGTGGTTCCGGATTGCGAGAGGGATCCCGGATTGGAGAGGGTGCAGGCCGGGCTGAGGGCCCCCCCACCCCCAGCCTGCATGAATTTCGTGCACCAGGCCTCTAGTTAGAATATAAACTGTTTGCTTTAAATAGCAAAGAGGAAGAAAGTAAAGTGAGTTTTTCAGAAAAAGAGAGGTCTTTGGAGAAATTCCCAGCAATGTCAGTGAGGCCTTTTGACCCTCCCCACTGGGTTTTCTTTGATGGGATCATTAGATGAGAGAGGAGGGAGCCTGACTATACTGTCCTAGAGCCAGAAGGCCCAGTTGTACTGCACTCTGCTGTACCACTGCTCCCCCAACCTGCCTTGTTCTCCTCCCACCCACCCCTCCTGCCCTCTCGGCTCAGGTCTGCTTTTCTTGCAAACCACAGCCACCAAGAGCTCCCAGCCAGAGGCCAGTCCTTATGACCAGCCACCTTCCTCAGCAGGTCACAAACACCTCTGATGATTGGACCGTCTCTGGCATCCCAGCCAACCAGCACCGCCTGACCCTCACCAGACTGGACCCCGGGAGCTTATATGAAGTGGAGATGGCAGCTTACAACTGTGCAGGCGAAGGCCAGACAGCCATGGTCACCTTCCGAACGGGTGAGGGTCAGTCGTTGCCCCAGCTTGGGGTTCCCATGGGCCTGAGAAAATCCTCCCAGGCTCAGGTGAGACCACCGTCCCCTTGTCCCACTACTCACCACCCTTCCAGTGCCTGCCTCCTGTGGTTTGTGTGCCCAGACTAAGGCCCCGCCTCTCAGCAGGATGCCACCAGCCAGCCTCTCTGGCGCCCCTCAGGCAGAGCGGAGATCAGACCCCACTTCCACTGCCCTGCATGACTTGCACCTCCTCGTCTGACCCCCTGGCAGAAAGCACTCTGAGGAGAGGGAGACCTAATACCGCGTGCTCCCTCCCGGGCTGAGCTCAACCCGTTTCTACCCAGGACGGCGGCCCAAACCTGAAATCATGGCCAGCAAGGAGCAGCAGATCCAGAGAGATGACCCTGGAGCCAGCCCCCAGAGCAGCAGCCAGCCAGACCACGGCCGCCTCTCCCGTAAGCCCCCAGCAATCCCCAGGGGTAGAAATGATGCATGCTCATAACCGGAACCCGGTCCACAGCCTCGGGCTCACTGCTGAAGGACGAATGGGCTCTTGGTTCTTCCTGGTGTCTCCCCACAGTGAAGAAGTACAGATTGAAGCTTTTCAGATAAAACCCTGGAGTCCAGTTCTGGGGTTGTTGACCCTGTGGGTGCAGAGGCAGTGGAAGGGAGAGCAGGTGGCCATTGGCACCTCCACACTCTGACCTGGCAGAAGTATGGCTTTCAGGAGTCTTAGCCCTCGGGCTCCTCCTTGGAGAAGGCCACCTAGGTGACCCATCCAAGGTGACCTCAGGACGACCCAGTGCAACCACCAGGGAGGGGGGGGGCGGTTTGGGGAGGACCGGGTTCCTATCAGGAAGAGGCCAAGTCAGGTTGCAACACGACCATCTTCTCACCGTGTCTTTCTCCTCCTTCCTCCCTCATGAATGGTTTCCCTCAGCCCCAGAAGCTCCAGACAGGCCCACCATCTCCATGGCCTCAGAGACATCGGTGTTTGTAACCTGGATCCCCCGTGGGAATGGTGGGTTCCCAATCCAGTCCTTCCGTGTGGAATACAAGAAGCTGAAGAAAGTGGGGGACTGGATGCTAGCCACCAGCGCCATCCCTCCGTCCAGGCTCTCAGTGGAGATCACAGGCCTAGAGAAAGGTAGGGGCCTGGCCACTGACTTCCTCTTCCCGTCCCCACTCCCCTCCCCTCCCCTGCACTGCCCCCTGGCCACCAAGAGGAGAACGGGAGCTGTGGGGGTTCTCACTGCTCATCCTCCACCCACCTCTAGGATCCCATGGATGCTCTGTGGTGCCTCAGTTCCACAAGCCCTCTCTCTCCCTTTCTGATGAGGGTGGGAAGTCTCCCGAGTCCTTTGGGGTTTGCTTTTGGGGAAGGTCTGCCCAGAAGACACCCCCCGCCCAGGTCCAGGGCCTGAATGATCTGTGAGCAAGTCGGAAGGTGTTGCCCAGCTCCTGGGAGGGATCAGTGAGTGTCTCTCTCACCAGGAACTTCCTACAAGTTCCGAGTCCGGGCTCTGAACATGCTGGGGGAGAGCGAGCCCAGCGCCCCCTCCCAGCCGTACGTGGTGTCGGGCTATAGCGGCCGCCTCTATGAGCGGCCCGTGGCGGGCCCGTACATCACCTTCACCGACGCCGTCAATGAGACCACCATCATGCTCAAGTGGATGGTACGTGGCCTTGCGTAGCCTGCATGGGGAGGCGGGCGGAGCTCATGTTGGGCAAAAGGGAATCACTTGTCTTCCCCAGCCTTTCCCCTAATCGACCTCCCTTAAGTGTGTCTGTCCATCCATCATCATCCCCACCCAGGCAGGCTCAGAGGGGATTTAACTCTTTGGGGAAATGTCCGTTTGTTTCTTGTCTCTAAAGGCTGGGGGACCTCTGGGCTGAATACAGCATTCTCCAGAGAGCTTTGGGGATGTCATCAGAAATGTCTGCCAGGGTCCCCCCGGGAATTTTGAACTCTAGGCCGGGGGAAATTCCTGTCCCCCACGGCCGCACCTGGTGATCTCTCTGTTCCACTGTCAACGTGTTTCTTCTCCTTTCCCTAAGTATATCCCAGCAAGTAATAACAACACCCCCATCCATGGCTTCTACATCTATTACCGGCCCACGGACAGTGACAACGACAGTGACTACAAGAAGGACATGGTGGAGGGTGAGAAACGCTTTCGTGTGATTTGGTTTCCTCTGTTGGCACGGGGGGTCTTGGTGTTGGTGAAGGTGTAAAGCCTGGGCTGCTGTGACACACAGCATCTGTGCCCCATATCGTCGTCTCTTTCATGACTCACTTGGGGTCATCGAGTTCATAAAACCACACGGTTCCTTCCCATGGTGATGGGACAACAGGTGATGGGGCCGTTCATGGCAGCCGCCCCAGCACCCAGCCCTCAGTCTGACTGCCTGTGGAGACCAGGCAAACCAGATCCACGTCCCCATGTGTGACTGTCTCTCTCTCCCAGGGGATAGATATTGGCACTCCATCAACCACCTGCAGCCGGAGACCTCCTATGACATTAAGATGCAGTGCTTTAATGAGGGCGGCGAGAGTGAGTTCAGCAACGTGATGATCTGTGAAACCAAAGGTGTGGTCTGTGGGTTCTGTGTCTGTCTCTGTTCTGTGTGCTTTGCTGGGTGTCTCTTCCCCAGGAAGACTCTTTTTCCAGGTACCCCTAAACTTCGTCATTCTTAACCTTTCATTTGCTTGTGCCTCATATTAAGTACAGATGGCTTGCTACATGACGGCTACAAAGAACTTGGGAACTCACTCCTACATGAGCTCATGGAGTGGAACCCGTTCTTAGGTTGGAAATTTTCTATAAGCACTTTATTCCTATGATAACATTTGATGCTAACACTGGTTTATTTACTTAATTAACTCCAACCCCATGAGACAGAAAAGGAAATGATATACCTTGACCAAGGTCAAGCGGCCAGTTAGTGGTAGAGCACACTTTGGGCCAAGTTTGTCCAATTACAAGCCCAGTCTCTTTCTCTGCATTAAAACATGTTAAACATATTCACATAATAATTTATTTTCACATCGGTCAAGTGGATAGATACTGTCTCCTTTTTGCAAACACTGAAAGATTATAAAGCAGGTGTATTGCAAAGAACAAACTTAGGAGATCACCAAGGAATAAAGACGAGAAAACCCATTTTCCTTCATTGGCAACATCTCTCTCCAGCTGTGCCCTGCTTCCCATCACTTGGCCAGCAAATACAGAGCACCTGCTGTGTGCACTGCCTGCCCTCTTCCATCGTGTACAGTGCAGTGAGGGGCAGATCCACCCAGGACCAGAGGTCCTGTATCAGAGTGCCCAGGGCAAAAAGCAGAGCCCTCACACGGGTTACACGCTGGCCTTTGGAAAGGATTGCATCTTCGGGGGGACTGAGGAGGGAGTGGCCTAAGGGACTGGACAAACCTGCAAGGACCTCCAGGCGGTTAAAGTATGTGGTCCTGGAAGGAGGAGAGACGGCCCTGTGGGCTGTAGGAGGGCCATTGTTGGATTTGTTTGCTGAGGGGTCACTGGTGACTATGCCGGGACGGGCTGAGGGGAGAGAGCAGGGTGCGGAGCACAGGTAAAGAGAAGGATGGGTTAGGGTCTGTTTTCTGAGGAAGTGTCATTAGGTTGAAATCATGGGAACAGATGAGGGTGCACAGAGAGTGCTGACCGACCGGGACCAGGAACACCTCCCAGTGTCTGAGGAGAAGCTGGAAAGGGGAGAGCAGGAGGAGAGAGAGGAGCAGCAGCAGCCAGAGGCCGGGGTATAGCAGAAGGCTGCAGTATCAGAGAGGCCAGGGTACGGCTGAGAAGAGGGTTAACAATGTCAGATGCACCTTGATAGCAAACCCTGAGGAGCTCACCATCCTACCTTGTTACCTTGGGATCAGCGTTTCCCAGATCCTGTCTGCCCCAGGGAGTCCCACCCAACACACCTATCCTCCTGCTCTGCGGCTCGGGCTCATGCCTGGTCCTCCGCACCCCTTAACCTGCTAGGAAGGGCAAGTCCGTGGGTGAATGCCTCCTTTCCCGGTTCTCCTGCTGGTTTCCTGCATTTGTTATACTTTCTTCCTGAAGTTCCCCAGCTCCTCTTTCAGGAAATCCCCACACCCTGCTGCCCAGAGTACCCAGCCTGGCTCCGGGCTTGGCTCACAACCCTCTGATTGTGTTTTGAAATACAAGGTCCAGTTCTCAGTAATCCCAAGTTTCACGTTAGATGCCAAGGTCCTGCTGAGCTGGGACACCACGCCCACCCAATAAAGGGTTTTGAGGCCCCATTTCCCACACCCATGGAATCGGGATGTTTGTTGTGAACGAAATGTCAGAGAAATCGATGCTGATGGGAGTTTTGTTCACAATTACAGCTCGGAAGTCTGGTCATCCTGGCGGACTCCCACCCCCAACTCTGGCTCCACCTCAGCCACCACCCCCTGAAACCATGGAGCGGCCGGTGGGCACGGGGGCCATGGTGGCACGCTCCAGCGACCTGCCCTACCTGATTGTGGGGGTCGTCCTGGGCTCCATCGTCCTCATCATCGTCGCCTTCATCCCCTTCTGCTTGTGGAGGGCCTGGTCCAAGCAGAGTGAGTGAGCGGCCTTCCCCCACACCAGGGGAGGAGCCTAGGGAGGGAGGGAGCCCCCCCCACCCCACCCGGCCCTCCAAGGAGGCCTCTCCCCAGGGCAGGATCAGAGGTCCCTGCTTCCCATTCACTGGGGCGCAAGCTCCTGGGTCTCCAGAGGGCTTAGGGAGAGTCACAGAACACCCCAGGACTAAGTCCCTCCTCTCAGCTCTCGGACCTGGCAGGTGGAGGAGAGTGTGAAGAGGGGGAGTTGGCCCTTCTGCATCTCAGAAGCTCAGGACTCACCTGGCTCCAACCCCTTTTCACACCCGAAGCTGCTGCTCTGACTGTGTTCACACTTACCCACCTCTCCCCGCCAAACGTTTCCTGCCTCTGCTCTGGGTCCAGGGCTGCGCTGCACTCCTCCCTTCCTACAGCACATGGTCCATCTTGCCTCCCCTAACTATTGCTCCTTGTGCTCGCTCACCTCCTCCTCCTCCTGAGCACTTGCCCCTGTATCTCCTCACCCTCATCGCCACTGCAAAGGAAGTCGCTGTTAGGGAGAAATGGGTAGCGTGAAGAAGTTTGCGAGGGAGAATATTCTCGTCTCTAGGGCGGTGCCAGCTCCCTGCCTCCCTGATCTGACCCTGTGCTCAGGAGTTTTCTGTGGTTCGTGTGGCCTCAGCCGACCTCTGTCCTTCTTCCTTCCAGAACATACAACAGACCTGGGTTTTCCTCGAAGTACCTTGCTGTCCTCCTCCTGCCAGTACACTATGGTGCCGCTGGGAGGACCTCCCAGCCACCGAGCCCACGGGCAGCCGTACCTCAGTGGCACCAATGGACGGGCCTGTGCCAATGGGGGGCATGTGAACAGGGGCTGCCCTGCGCCTGCCATGGGCCACCCAGGCGTGAAGCCTCCCCAGCAGTGTCCCGGGGCACGGCCGCAGGTAACGCATCCTGGGTGCGGGCGAGCAGGTGCGGCCGCCCTGGAGGGGAGGCTGGGCGCCTCCTGAGGCTGCCTCCCTGCTGGCCTCCAGTCCTGGACTGCGGGCCAGGCTTCCTTAGTCAGGAACAGCTCATCCTGCTAGAGGATGCACGGGGACGTGTCCTGGACGCCGACATGACCCTGCCATTCCCCTTCCCTTTGAGCAGCAGGACGACACCAACCACCTCCGGAGGCAGGCCGCTCCTGGCGATGGGCATGGCGCCCACAGTGCCCCGCCTCCCAGGTAACAGGCCCTCCCACCCCTGCATCTGTCTCCAGTCCCAGAGCTCCCTCTCCCTTTAGGCCCTCAGGTTCAGCACCAGCCACTGAGAGGTGGGGCCAGCTTCGCGAAATTCCTCATGCTCCTCATTTCTTCTAGACTAAGGGGTCCCCGCATCTGACAGCCTGCTCCACTGCCGCCCCCCCACGAGGGGTAGTATTTGCAGTTACGAAGCCCTTTCTGCTCTGGAGCACGGGTCAGCCTCTCAGAATCTGCCCCCCACCTGGCAGGCTGCGGAGCTAGGCACTGCTGGCTTTGCCCAGACACCCCTGACCCCACATTTTCTAATACACTTAGGACTTGCATGGAATACAATGGAGAGAGGCCAGAATTACCCGGTGGAAATGGTGTGGCACCTCTCGATGTTCATAAGGGAGCCGTCCCTGCCCGTCTGGGCCCTTTCCCCTCTGGTGTTCTCGACAGGGATGCAGCTGGGTGGTGGGGATGTGGACCCACCCTGCCCATACCTCACTCCCATTTGGTCTCGTGCACGCAGGGGAGCCAAGGCCAACCCAGACGAGGCCTCTTTCCTGTACACACTGCCTGGTGCCTCAACGCACCAGCGGCTGCAGACCCACCAGGACCGCCACCCCCTCCAGGAGCAGCCTGCTCCATCCAGCCAGTCCGGGATGAGGCGAGGACCTCAGAATCCGGGGATGGAAGCGACATGGGACCCTCTTTTTCACCCAGGTTTGTGCCGGGGGCAGAGCAGGAAATAAAAGAGGCTGGAGGTAGCATGAGGTAGGAACCCACAACCCAGGAGTGATTTGGAGGAGTGGGGCGCTGGGGAGAAGTCGTTGAAGGTGGTGCTTGGTAGGGAGCTGTCCGCGGCTTTAATCAGGAGAGACGGGGAAGGACAGAAGCTGGCCACCGTCCCTTCTGCCCGAAGGCCTAGCAGATGTGCAGGGGCCTACCGGTCGGGTCCTTCTCCACCATCACAAGCCTCGTCCTCACAGGCTGAGGAAAAGGACACCATCCCATTTCAGAGAAAGACATATTTTGGTCTCTGCATTAAGGCCATTCACAAATTCCTACTGCCTCTCATAATAAGAGGCGCTCTCTAATCACGCCAAAATACCTTGTTTTGTTGGGTCTTGTCTCTTAATTAAGGACTAAGGTTACATCAATCATTAGGAAGCCAAGTTCTCACAACCATCGGAACTCCCTGTGCTTCCACAGAACTTTTTTCCGTGGGGCTCAGTGCACACTAGCCCCTCCCTCTGTCTTCCCTGGGCCAGTGCCTTGGAAATCAGTGGATTCTTGGGTGGGTGCCGGATGCTGCAGAGGCTTGGGTCATGTTTCTTAACCTCTGTGGTGTGGCTGTAGGTCCACGTGCAGACCCTCAACCCTGCCTCTGGGAGATGGAATTCACCTCCTAGAGCCAGGCCCGGCGCCTCTGACACTGGATGGGCTCCCCTGCGGGAATGGACTGTGTGTGGGGTGATCAAGACCAGAAATCGCCTTGTCATGGCTGTAGGTTCCTCTCTCCTTTTGGACGAGTGTGACCAGTGCCTCTGAGTGCCGCTTCCTGGACAGTCAGGATGTTAATGTTTCCATTCTCTCTCCCCGCAGGGCCCCCGTGCTGCTTGGGCCTGGCACCGGTTGAAGAAGTGGACAGTCCTGACACTTGCCAAATGGGTGGAGGAGAGTGGTGCCCCCATCACCCCACGGGGACCCACGGAGGACAGGAGCCCGGGAGGCAGCTCTCCCCCAGCCCACCAGTGCACATATCTTTTGAAACACCACCCCCCATCATTTAGGCAGAAGCCAGTATTCCAGAAAGACTATTATCGTTTTTAAAGAGACAGAGGAAATTGGTATTTATTTTTCTATAATAGCCATATTTATATATTTATGCACTTGTAAATAAATGTATATGTGTTGTTATAATTCTGGAAAGACATAGGGACTCCTACCCATGGAGGTATGAGAGGTTAAACAAAGAAGCCACCACATACCAGGAGCAAACCAGGAAAGAGGAACACGGACCGGCCAGCACCCAGACCGAGGAGGCGGCTCAGAACCTCTGCCCCGGCCCGGGAGGCTGCAGAGGCCCAGAGAGCAGCCGCCCGAGGGAGGACTCCCGCTCACTGTGCGTGAGGAGCGCGCGGGTAACACAGAGGCCAGGGGCGCACAGGCTGCAGACACCTGTGAGGACGGCCAGCTCTGGTGCTACAGGCAAGGTCTCCAGAAGACGCCCGTGAGAACAGACTCAGATGTGTATAGTACTATAAGCATTAACAGACCTTCCAGAATCAATAATCCGCGGCAACATCGCTCTGTAAAAACAAACACTGTAACTTCTAAATAAATGTTTAGTCTTCCCTGTAACCTTCAGCTTAGTCACGCGTGAGTCAGCGTTTTCCTTAGATGTTAGGATTCAGTCTTTGAGTATCTGAAGAGAATACCCACTTGGGCTGTTTTCAGAACAAGAGATGAGATCTGGAAAAGATAGATGTCTCGAATGTTTTTGTCTGTAAATACGGAATGTCGGTTGTGCTTTTATTAACGTGGGATGCATTAGTAACTGCTGAGTCCAGGAGGGAGACAGTGTACAGGAGGCAAGGAGAAGCAGAGTCAGTTCTCCTCCTGACTGCACTGAAGGTAAAACTCGGGTCAGGTCAAGGAATGGAACTAATCATTTCTGTAGCGGTCTGTGTGTGCTGAAGACCAAGTATTTAAGAGTTACGCTACACAGGTGGTGCCTGATACATTCACTTCCCTTCTTTCCAAAGATACACCAACACTGCCAGGGGAGCTGACTCACCACTTGTTTAAAACCCACATTTACTTACTGCTTGCTGCCCATCCATAGGATCCTTATACCCGGGACTAGATGGAGGCTGAAGCTTGCAAGGCCTCTTCTCAATCTCAGTAGAGTTGAGTTACAGATGAAATGCCTCTTGAGACACACAATCTCATTAAGAGGCATCTGGCTTCTCACTCCTGTCATGAATTTGATGAGCAAGATGGTAGGAAAGCCCCAGGACTGATGGCAGTCTAGGACAAGTGCTCCCTCTGCTGGCCGAAAGCAGTAGCGTGCCAGCTGGTAGATTGTTACCCCCTTTTTCCAGCCAAAGCTAAATTGGAAAAACTCATCAAGATGCAACATGACTTTCAGAAAAGTAGAATTTTTAAAAAAAAATTTAAGAAAGAAAGTGAAGGACTATAAACAACATGCAAACGATAGGCAAGGAGAAGTCAAACAGGTAAGAGTAATAAGATGTGACTTCAGACACAACCTGGGTGAGGGCTAATGCTCCCAATCTTCATTTAGCTAATCCTTGGGGCCCTCAAATCCAGGCTGCAACTCACCTTCTAGCCCACTGGCTTTAAACAGCAACAGAAAAGGGACCAGCTAACACTCTCAATGCTAGCTTTTCTTGCCAATGGCTAAAAATTCAGATAAAACAAACACAAACACAAGTTTCCTAAAATGGGACATATGAAAGATGCTTTCTTAGTATGAGACACAGCCTTCTGAGACTTCACATTCAATCCAGTTGGTTCCAAACAAATGTGAAATGGCTCAGCTCAATAACAGATGTTGGGCATTACCTGGCTGGATCTCGTTTTAGACTTTTAGGTCCATTCACTTCAAAATAACAGACTGTCACAGGAGACAACTTCTGGGGAAATTTATGTCAGAAATCTTGGGTGGATTTGAGACAAAAAAAAAAAAGTAAAAGGCACAGGGGCTTCATCTGTTCTCAGGTGGGAACTTAATGGGTGGGAGGATAATGCCGCCTTTCTTACGCAAAAGAGCAATCTCTTGCTTTAAGGCCAAAATCCTTTCCGCCTGGAGTTGGATCAGGTGAGTGACCTTCTCTCTTGCCATAATATCTGCTCTCCGAGGGCCCTGGAAGGCATTGCCCTGTTGAAAGAAAGCATCTCCTTACTTGAAGCATCATGTTGGATGAGAAAACGTCTGTTCTTATATGGGAGTGCCTGCCTTAATCCATTTAAACAGCCATTGCTCCTTCCTTTAAGGGGCTTGCATTCGTCCACTGAAATCCCACCATTAGAAATGTGTTCCTTTGCACTAACAAACAACTCTTAAAATGCAAATATCCTTTAGATGGGTAAGCCGCCACTTATACCTTGGAGGGCTTATCACTAGAATCATAAAAGACAAGGTGCCTCCTTTTTCTATACAGCTCATCATCATATTTTATTTTCTGAAAAGAAAATCATCTTTATGTCCTGCCCTAGCCAGTTTGGCTCAATGGATAGAGCATTGCCCTGCAGACTGAAGGATCCTGGGTTCAATTCCGGTCAAGGGCACTTAACCTCGGTTGCAGGCTCGATTCCTGGCCCTGGTCAGGGCAAGTGTGGGAGGCAACCAATCAATGTGTTTCTCTCACATGGATGTGTCTCACATTCATGTTTCTCTCTCCCCCCACTTCCCTTCCACTCTCTAAAAACCAATGGAAAAATATCCTCGGGTGAGGATTAACAACAACAAAAATCATCTGTATGTCTTTATCTGATTTCAGCCCCTGTCCAGCCAACTCCTGCTCATGCTCCAGACCTCACTTTCAGGGAGGCCTTCTTTGCCCCATGGACTAGACTAGGGTCTTCTGCTCTATGTTCTATCAAAACAGCCACCCTGTGTCATTGGAATTATCAGAGTGTACCATTTAAAATGTATGACATTTGACCACTTTTTAACCTAAAGGAAGTGGCAATTTGTTATGGTTCAACCTAAATGTTATATTTTTTGCGAGATCCTGGATCTCGCCACTGTACCCAGCACTCACCCTAGAACTTGTTACCTAAGTAGATGCTCAATAAAATTTGAACATGAGCTAAAGGGCAGGACATTACCACCCAGCTGGTCTGCACTCTCTGCCAGGTGCTTCATTTAATCCTCACAACAACTGTGAATTCGATGGTGGTGGTCTAGTTTTACAGAAACTGGGACAGAGATGCATGAACTGGCCCAAGCGATTATATTATTAAGGACCGGAAGCAGGGTTACAACCAGGTTACCTGAAGCCAAAAGCCCATGATTTGTCCATTACCCTCACTTACGATGGCAGACCTTCCTAGCAAATAGGGGTTATCATTACCCAATAGCTCCTCTCTTGCCTGCCTTCACTGTTGAGGCTGTGAAAGCTAAACACTAACATCACCCAGTTTCTCCTCCAGCTAGGGTTGGCTGAGTGAATATAAGCAGAAAACTGGTGCTTCCTTATGAAGGCACAGAAGTGGCTGGCATGTGGATGTGAAACATGGACCTGACGCAGCTGTTTTGTGACTCTGAGGAGAACTTCAAAGAATCAGAGAGAATCACAGAGATGCTGGCCCCTGATATCACAGATCCACTAAATCAAACCCCTTAAGTCATCTCTAGACTTCTCGTTCAGTGAAAAAAAAAAAAAAAATGAGCCCTATTTGTTTAAGCTACTTTCAATGGGGCTTTTGGTTACTGGCAGCTAAATGCTTGTACCAACTCACCAGTCACTCCAGGCATCATTTTAAAGGCACCTTAATTTTCCCTCATTCTTCTCACCATATCCAAAAAGTTTTTGACTAATCTTACTTGGGAATTTCTTTTGACACTAGCTAGCTTCTCACCATCTACATCCCAATGCATGCCTCGACTGTCGTAAGAATAAGAACAACCGAGTCAGCTTTGGAGGAAGACAGACCTCGTTTTAAAAACTCACTTCCTGTGCATTAGCTCTGAGAGCTGAAGCAAGTTACTCCCTACTCTGAGCTTTAGGAAGTAGTGTTTTGAAGATTAAATGAGATATCCTTTGAAAAGAGACTGCACGTGTCAAGATATACTGTAAAGATACACTCTGTAAAGACATATATGATTAATTTTCCCATCCAACTGATCTACCTCCAAACTCTTCTCAATGTATCTGGACTTGTCAAAGCACTTCAAGTCAACAAATGTTTACTGACTGCTCACTCTGTGATTTTATTTGGGTGTCAACCCTCTCCAACACTGCCTTGATTCTCCATTCACAAACTCTTTAGTGGATAAAGGGCCCTCGGTATTCTGATTCTAAGCTTCCTCTCAAATCTAATGTCCACTTCTAAGCTTTCCAAATCCTCTTATTCTTTCTCCGTGGAATAAACCATATTCTTTCCTCCTTTTGGACTTGAACTTAGACTAGAGATCTTAAACTCAAGCATGCATCAGAGTCCCCTGGAAGGCTTGTTAATGTGGTTTGATGCCAGGACTCCCCCGGCCCCCCAGCTTCTGACTCAGAAGATCTGGGTTATTTCTAACAACCTCCCAGGTGATGCTGATGCTTTCCTCAGGGGAAAGCACTCCTGGCTGAGGCCACTGCCAGGTGCTTAAAGAAAACCAAGAGAAACAATAGGCAGTTTTGCAAAACCTATTGCAAGGACATGAGCTATAGTTCATTTAGAATAGGTGTTGGGTTCCTGGAGGGCAAGACTTGAAGGATGAATTTCATTAAATAAGTAGTATCCACCACAAATTAAGGAACACAATGTTAGGCTCAGTAAATATTATAAAGAGCCATTTGAAAGCCCTAAGAAGGAACAAGTGCTTTAGTGAGGCAACACGTGAGAGCCCACAAGTCAAGACACCCACTTTAGGTTAAATGGAAGGAGCAGATATTGGAAATGGATGTTAGGCACCAAATTCGGGTAGTGTATTAGTACTATTTATACCTAAATAGCCTTATCTCTCCAGGGCCATGGCAAACCCCATAGATTAGCATTTATGTAAGTTCATGGCCCCAAGATGCACATGATGAAGCTAGTTCCTCAGGCTCCCTGTGATGGGGCCAGTGTCACATTGGTGTTCTCAGGGACTGGCCTGAGGCGAGAAGCAGGCTACTAGTAAGATCAAGGTTTGCTGAAATGCCAGCACTGAAATTCCCATGAACACTACCGCTACCGAACTTGCCCATGCAACAGAGGGTCTGAAGGAAAGCATACCTGCTGATTCTGGAGCGTGTTCAACCGAGAATCAAGCTTCTTCTTTTCAATACATAGATCATTCATCTGGTGGAGCTTTCTGGTGTGTTCTTTTGTCTTCATCATCAGTTCCCAGCGCACTTGAGCAATCTTTTCCTACCAGGGCAGGAAGATGCAGAATGGGTGACATGAATGAGAGGAAATAGAGAAAAATGAATGTGCAGATTTGATCAAAGCCATCGGGCAAACAAAGTGATGTGCACATAGAAAAATATAACCAGAAGTCAGTATGAAAACGCAGCCAGAAGCAACTGCATGGGGTCTAGTCTGATTACAGAAAAGATAAGAAGACTGTAAGTATGATCAAAGACAAAAGTAGGCAAAATAAGACAGACATCGATATCACTCCATTGTTGAGGAATGAA